CTAACCAAGGAGTCAAACAACCGTGCACTCTTGGAAGTACCAGCCAAAGTAATTCACGCACCAATAGTGATGAACACGAAACTACTGCAGAACCAGCGCTAATGGATCCCTCTAACCAAGGAGTCAAACAACCGTGCACTCTTGGAAGTACCAGCCAAAGTAATTCACGCACCAATAGTGATGAACACGAAACTACTGCAGAACCAGCGCTAATGGATCCCTCTAACCAAGGAGGACAACCGTGTGCTAGACTTGAACAAGTGAGAGGAAAAGACCTCCGTAACACGGGAGAAGGGAATAGACCCGGCGTGAACGCTGGAGGAGACCCCCGTAACAAGGGAGAAGCAGACCCCTCGCACGAGGGAGAAGATCGCAAGAGTGCTAGACCCAACACGTGAAATGGAGACAAAGACCCCTACGGCAAGAGGGACATGGATAGTGACGGGTCGGCAGCCTTGCCACCTCCTTACAGGAAGCTACTGGCTGAAATGTGGAGAGAACAAAGGAAGCCTCGCACGTGGCACACGACTTGACGAAAAACAGGAAATCATTCACGAACTTGCGAAGACTGGTAGCATGCTTCTGAAAAAGAACGACGGAACGGAAAGTTGGGAGACGTTGCGAGGGCAATCGGCGGCACCTTGGTGTCAACGCCGCTGNCCCCTACGGCAAGAGGGACATGGATAGTGACGGGTCGGCAGCCTTGCCACCTCCTTACAGGAAGCTACTGGCTGAAATGTGGAGAGAACAAAGGAAGCCTCGCACGTGGCACACGACTTGACGAAAAACAGGAAATCATTCACGAACTTGCGAAGACTGGTAGCATGCTTCTGAAAAAGAACGACGGAACGGAAAGTTGGGAGACGTTGCGAGGGCAATCGGCGGCACCTTGGTGTCAACGCCGCTGAACCTGAGCGACCTCGAACAACACTTCGGAACCAAAAAACGCTTCCCAGACGAATCTCATAGACATCGTCGACAACGGTGTGCCAGCGAGAACGCAAGACAGCCCGCCCAACCTCGAGAGCGCTCTGCGATACGGATCACAGTACGATAGACGCCCACACGGAACTGGTGTGGAAGAAGCTGATAGACGACGTCGAACAGAACAGATGCCTCGTATTCAACGTAGCGGACGCAACTTGCATGAAGGACGTTCGCGTATCGCCGCTAGGAGCAGTGGTAGGAAAAAAAATCAGAATCATCAACGATTTTTCTTCGGATCCCAAGCTGCTGCGCGGACAGAAGGCAGGAGTCAACGTCGACACGGTAACGGAAGAAGTACCCGACTGCTTGTGCGGCGAGACTCTACCTGCTTTCCTTTCTGAAATGACGCGCTTGAGAGTCAAATGGCCTGACAAGAGGGNACCTGAGCGACCTCGAACAACACTTCGGAACCAAAAAACGCTTCCCAGACGAATCTCATAGACATCGTCGACAACGGTGTGCCAGCGAGAACGCAAGACAGCCCGCCCAACCTCGAGAGCGCTCTGCGATACGGATCACAGTACGATAGACGCCCACACGGAACTGGTGTGGAAGAAGCTGATAGACGACGTCGAACAGAACAGATGCCTCGTATTCAACGTAGCGGACGCAACTTGCATGAAGGACGTTCGCGTATCGCCGCTAGGAGCAGTGGTAGGAAAAAAAATCAGAATCATCAACGATTTTNACAACCCGCCCGAGTGCCCCGAGATGCCAACGTGAAACCGCATGACGGAGGCGGACCACACGATGATTTCTCGTGTGGGGTGTACGTAGACGATTTCCCTTTACTGAAAGTACAACATGCGCCAGACGACGCATCAGCGCTGGTAGCCTCCGCGTCACTAGCGTCTGACTGTGTGAGACTCTTCGGGCCAGCAGAGACGGGCCAAACGCCCATTCTCGCCTCGAAGAAAAGCACAGACTGGAACACGAAAGTGGACTTTCGCGGACACACGATAGACACCCATAAAATGACGATCGCGACAACACGTGAGAGGATCGACGCGATAAGGACCGCGCTAGAGAACGATTGGCCACAGCCCAGAGAATTCGCCGGTGTGCAAGAAGTCCCGAGTATGGCGGGAAAACTCTGGAACCTGATGTACGTCATGAGGGCGGGGAAATATTTCGGATGGCACCTCTTACGCCTCACCGGCCTACACGACAAGACTAACAGACAGTCGAGAGAAAAGCGGCAGGTACGTCTTGGTTGGGAGTTCCACGGAGACCTAGACTCCTGGAGATCGGCGCTGGAAGTTAAACTCGCGGAGAAAGGAGAGTCACTTAGCGCGTTTTTCTCTAACCACGTCCAACGCACGCCTCTCCGCCACTACCTATCGGATGCTAGCTTCGACGCGGTAGGCGGACACTGTCCCGAACTAAAAGTGTTGTGGCGGTATCGATTTAAACCCGCGTTTACCGCGGAGTTGAAAAGGAAAGTAGAAGCCAAAGAAACCAGCGCAATCACGATCAACACGCTAGAATTGCTCGGAATGATAATTACATGCTGGGTGGTCCAAATGGTCGTGGGAGAAAAGCCGACGCAACCCGGACAAGCTATCATGATGAGGGGAGACAACGTGCCGGCGGTATCATGGGTGAAAAGATGCAGGGACTCGAGAGACGCGGGCGGCACTGTTCATGAGACTGCTTGGTCGTATGGAAATCGAAAACGGATGGTGTCACGCGGCGAAACACATCCCGGGACGCGAGAATACCCTCGCGGACGGGATATTTAGATGTTAGTCATAGGACGTAGAAGTCAACGTGGAAAGACTCACGCATGACGATGACTGGCGAATGCAAGACATCGGAGACAACGGAAGAGAACTAACTGAAATGATGCTGCAGGAGAAACTCCCCGACCAAAGAATGGATGGCCTCGTATTGAGCCGCATGGCAAGCGTGTAAAGAGAAGAAGTGATGAGAGAATGATCAGCAAAAGAACTAAAAAAGGTGTGATGACTCTAACGTGTTCAAGCGCAGGAAGCGAACACGGGACGAAGGGAACGAGCGGGGAAGGCGAAAGGCTCCTCAGGATTATGGAGCACCGCTCCCTCAACGGGAGCACGCTGAAGGGATACCACAGCAAGTGGGACACGTGGACAGCTGAAAGAGCTAAAGCGAATCTGAGTCCATGGGTGTACGAAGGAGACGGTGTGGATAGCGCAGTGAGAGAGCTGACTGTGTTCATGGCGTCGAGGTGTTAAGTGTACAAGAACCAGAGCCAAACGGTGAAGGGGTACCTCGCGGCTATCATGTACTTCCATAAACTGGACGCAGGCTTGGAGCTGCCCACGTCTCACATCAGAGTGGTAGCTGTTGGGAACGCAATAGACAGACTGCATGCGAGTGCAGAGACGAAACCGTTGGTATGGCAACCGCTCACCGTGCCGATGATTATTGCTGGGAGAGAAAGAGCGCAGACGAATGCTTTCGGACTAGTGACGTGGATGGGGATCGCTCTCTCATATTTCTTGCTGTGCCGAGCGTCTGAGCTGTGGGCCTACCAGAACGGCTTAGTACACGCCGATTTTTGTCTCACGAGAGGGAACCTCGTACTCTTCGAAGGAGCGTGTCGGCTAGCGTGGAACGAAAGAAGGCGGGAAGACAGAGTAGAAGTGACCTTTCGCGCGTCGAAAGCGGACCAAAAGAGGAGACGAGGCGCGGTAGTGACGAGAGAGAGAGAGTAGTGCGGGGCGAGGAAGGGGAACAGATGGCTGAGAAGATGGGGTCGCTAGAGATTTTACTGAATCTGCTTGACGTGCACCCAGACTTAGGAAGTAGCGCGCCGCTCGTGCAGTCGGTCAAGCAGGGACGGTGGGCAGTACTGTCGAGGCCGGAAGCAATGACAGTGCTGAGATACATGGCGAGAAGAGTAGGAGGAGACCCAACGCACTTCGCGCTGCACTCAGGGAGGATAGGTGGTGGAACGCAACTAAAAAGTAAAGCAGGGCGCATCGCTTGTTCAGATTCAGAGGGCGGGGAGGTGGAAGTCAGGAGCCTTTATGACGTACGTGAGGGCAGGAGGCGAAGGCGCTAATTATGTATCGTGTGCACTAGCGTCTAGCTGAAGGGGAGAAGTAGCGTGGACAAGAGCGCCGAGTATCGGGCCGCGCAATGGGATATGACCTGGGCATAGAGGCCGGGTTGGCCCGACACGTGATACCTAGTGAGTCCGAGGGGAAGTCAAGGGTTCAGCTCATAGGTTGGATTTTGGTTTTGATGTTTTTTGGTTTCGGTGTTTCTAAATCTTGTCGCTTTTTCCAATAATCCAAAATTCTTGAGCAAAACACAAACCGGCCCCTTGGATTGCAGCAGTCGCGTTGGCTGAAAACAACAGTCTTGTGATCATACCCGAAAATGAAAATGGTTGTGTGGCATGCCAGAGCGAGTATCGCAAATCGTAAACACGTGTAGCTCTCTTCTCCTCTTGCTACCGCAGTAGTTCGTACCTGCGATGACAATCACTTTCGCGGCTCCATCCTCCACCGCCGTGCTGCTTCTGCTGCTGCTTCTGCTGCTGCATGAGAGCGTCCGTGAGGCCGTTGAAGCACCGCGGCGCCGCCGCACCTTGTTCTGAGAGCATGAGAGCAACCGAGTCGTGCTTGATGGCAACCTGGAAACAGCTGCTCCAAGCAGAGCTCTCGCCGGAGCCCACACAAGGAGGAGTGGCGCTGCCGCCATGAAAATAAGCGGCAAGGATTTGGGCCACGCAAGCGGCATCTACCTACTTTGTCACGCAATTGTGGTGCGTTGGTGGCGTTGTAGCGTAGCAGCACAGCGGTGAGATTTGGCGGAGGGGGCACACTGATGTGACTATGAAAATATGTTGCAGGGGGGTTGTGTCGTGCTTGTGTTGCTGGTCGGTTGTGCGAGATCGACTACTGCAGTTGTGCATCTGCAGTCTGCAGTTCGGTCCCTGCAATTTGCAGTCAAGTTGTGCTCTCTCGGCTGTGCGCTTCGCCGCCGCTCTGCTCTTGTAGGGAGTATTGGCTCGAGCACATGGTATGCTGAGATCTGCCCTCACGTCTACTCTGTCGGCATGCTTGGCCGTGTTCGCTACGCTGCTGTACCAGCAGTGGGCTCGCCCATCACCGCAGCTCCAGCAGCAACATGTTACCGTTGCCACGAAGGTCGACCGCGAGCAGGAGCTAGCAGGCAGCCCAAGCACCGCCGCACCATCGCCAACAACCGTTGACCTGGCCCAGGCTCTCGGGTTGGGTCGCGTCCTGCTGTCCCGGGGCGAACATGAAGAAGCCGCCCTTGTCTACCGTGTAGCAGCGTCCGCCGCTGCTGCCATAGATTCAAACCGCGAGCACGGAGAGGCACAGCACGGGCTGGGCCTGGCACTCCTCGCAACCGGTCGACCAGAGGAAGCTCTCGCGGCCTGCCGAGAGGCTGAACGACTCGATCCCGATCTTCCAACAGCGACTTCCTGCATTGGTGCTATTTTGACCGACGCTGGGAACATCGCTGGTGCGCTCACGGCATTGCGCCACGCGGCAGAAAAGGCAGAACGGGCAGGGGTAACGGCGGGATTGTGGCGGGACGCTGAAGGCACCGCCGACACCATCCATGGCCGACTAGGAGCGGCCCTACTAGCTGCCGGGGAGGTTGACGAAGCGATAGAAGTTTTGACGAGGGTTGAGCTGGACGCGCGGCGGGCCGGGGGTGACCCACACGCGGCGTACAACCTCGGCGTCGCATGGCAGACGAAGGTTTGATCGCTTGCCAAATTGCCAAATGGACATCAGATAATGAACCAATGAAACCTGATTGCAAACTAGTATCGTAAATGAATACAAGGCGCTTCGCGGTCGCCGCTACGCCCGTAGGTTGCATGGCGATGGCAAGTGTGTGCGGGTGCAGTTTTGAAATTTAGAGGAACGAAAAAAGTAGTCTAATAACTTTTTAGTGTTGTGAAAAAAGTTGTATGCTCATTTGTTCGAAGAAGGGCGAGCGAAGACAGACAGACCACAGAAGCACGATGAATTTATTGTAAGTTTGCGACGGAGCGGGAGGACAGAAATAGTGAAAAGAGACATCTACAATAATATTGTATGTGTCCCAACACTTCAACTCCTATGTCTATGTAATACCTGAAAATAGAATGTATGCGGCAGTATACTCCACCCACCCACGGATATCGAACGATGAGGAGGCTGAAAAGCTAAAGCCACGTGTGTATGTTTTTTTTTATTATTAGCATCGACCGCGCTAACCGGGTGACCAACTAAAAGACGTCAGTGCCAGCGGGTAAAAATCAAGGTCTCTGGAAGGGGTCCAAAATTCGAAAAATGCGCAATGCGCTAGATGCGAATGCCAATACGACTCTCTCTAAATATTCTTTCACGCAGACACACATCTCAGCTACACAAATGCACTCGCTCGAATCTAGAAAGCCACTGATGCAAAGAGCGGAGGACAGCAAAAGGGTTAATTCAAACCCAGCCGAAGCCAGGATATCGTGTTATGCTGCATCTCCCAATTTGATAATCGTGCACTCCCAAGTGTCAGCAGCTAGGTGACTCAAACAAAATTGCAACACATACACTGCTATAGCTCCACACATGCCCTCGCCCAAACCTAGGAAGCCACTGATGCAAAGAGCGGAGGACAGCAAAAGGGTTAATTCAAGCCCAGCCGAAGCCAGGATATCGTGGTATGCTGGATATCCCAATTTGATACTCGTACACTCCCAAGATCCAACAGTCATTGTGCCAGCAGCTAGATGACTCAAACATAATAGCAACACATACACTGCCATAGCTCCACACATGCCCTCGCCCGAACCTAGGAAGTCACTGATGCAAAGAGCGGAGGACAGCCAAAGGGTTAATTCAAGCCCAGCCGAAGCCAGGATATCGTGGTATGCTGGATATCCCAATTTGATACTCGTACACTCCCAAGATCCAACAGTCATCGTGTCAGCAGCTAGATGACTCAAACGAAATAGCAACACATACGCTGCCACAGCTCCTCCCATGCCCTCGTCCGAACCTAGGAAGCCACTGATGCAAAGAGCGGAGGACAGCAAAAGGGTTATTTCAAGCCCAGCCGAAGCCAGGATATCGTGGTATGCTGCATCTCCCAATTTGATAATCGTACACTCCCAAGATCCAACAGTCATCGTGTCAGCAGCTAGATGACTCAAACGAAATAGCAACACATACACTGCCATAGCTCCATGCATCCCTCGTCCGAACCTAGCAAGCCAGTAGGACTAGGGAGCCAAGTCCTGCTCGCAGGTTCTCTTGGCTTTCCTTCAGGTGAACACGTCCAGGAATCCAGTATCCGCAGTCGCCGCAGTGGTACTGCTGTGTGGTATTATAGTAGCAGGAAATCCAGGTTGTACCCACTCGTTGTCCAAACAAAGATTTGTGATTCCGTGAGAGGAGATACCACCGCCGTCGAAGGGTCGAAGGCACTGTCTGCCAGATGTAGGCCGTGTGATAGATGGTGCCACTTACGTGTTCTAAGCCTGCCCGCCCGTGAGGGTCGTGACGAGGCCGTGCGCATGCTTGTGTGTGTGTGTGTTTTATCGAGGAGGAGGAAAAAAATGTATTATGAAGGGGCAAAATCCCACAGAGACAGTAGTAGTTACATGGAGTACAGTACGGGCCCGGAGATAAGAAACGTCAAAATAATCGGGTCGAGGCTCTATCCCTTATTTTGGGTTGATGGAGGACCAGCCAAAGTCTTCCGTTTTCTTCAAAGCAGGCACTGACAACTGTCATTCCTTTGGACTGACTGACTGTCGCATCCTCCTGATTCTGTTATTTTTTCTTTTTTTCTTTTTATTTCTGGCTAAAAGAATACACCAGCAGCACACCAAACATACATTCATGAAGGGTAACAATAATGCAGCCCGCGGAGGCGCGGAGTAGCAAGCGCGGAGGCGGGGGGGGGGAGGGGGGGGGGGGACTCATAG